AGGTTCCGCAATGCCAGACTGGGTCGCAACAAATCTCCCACACCATCGATTCGCCATTCATCAAGAAACACCGACACCCCAGATACTATGTTCTACAATGATGATCTCGCCTCCAATGTGAACAGCGACGAAGATAATCATCTCCAGGATGATGAGTTCCTTCTCGGAAAGGACTACGTCCCTCCCACTGGACTGAAGAAATGGATGCAGATCAAAATTGGAGACTGGCCGGTCTACTCCATGTTCCTCGCTCTGGGCCAGATCATCGCCGCAAACTCTTACCAGATCACTCTACTCACAGGTGAAGTTGGTCAGACCGCAGAGAAGTTGTATGGAATTGCAACGACATATGCCATTGCATCCATGTGCTGGTGGCTCGTGTACCGGTACTTCAAGTCTGTCGTTTGTCTTTCTACCCCGTGGTTCCTATACGGTTTTGCATTCCTCTTGATTGGATCTGCTCACTGGGAAGGGGATTCCTTCACCCGGGGATGGATCCAGAATGTCGGCACCGGTTTCTATGCCGCGGCCTCCGCCAGTGGATCCATTTTCTTCGCTTCGAACTTCGGTGACGAGGGAGGTGCTCCAGTTAAAACCTGGATTTTCCGCGCCTGCGTTATTCAGGGTATCCAGCAGGCATACGTTATTGCGCTCTGGTACTGGGGTTCCACCATGACCAAGGCTTCGTCACAGGGTCTCTTGAACCCTGAGACCAACATTGCCAATAGCTGGAAAATGAGGTAAAAATACCTGCCCACCTATCTCCTGACTTGTTTTACTGACTTTATTCCAGTGCAATCTGTTATCCCATCTGCGTCTTCCTGTGTCTCGTGGGTGTGTTGTTGGCTATGGGACTTCCCAACTACTACCGCCAGAAGCCAGGCAAGGTGCCATCCTTCTACAAGTCCCTTTTCCGGAGAAAGATCGTATCCTGGAACTTCGTTGCAGTTATCCTGCAGAACTTCTTCCTCAGCGCACCATACGGTCGAAACTGGAGCTGTAAGTCCAACTCCCCCGTTCAAACTTTCTCACACCGATCAATACTGACATTCCCCTCTCCCAGTCCTATGGGGCTCCATACACACCCACGCATGGCAGATTGTCCTCCTCTGCGTCGTCTTCTTCGGCTTCGTCTGGTGCATATTCCTCTTCGTCGTTAGCAAATTCTCAAAGCGACACAGTTGGTTCCTTCCCGTCTTCGCCTGCGGCCTGGGCGCACCCCGCTTCATCCAAATCTGGTGGGCCATCTCCGGCATCGGGTACTATCTTCCCTGGGCTGGTGGGTACACTTCCGGCGCGCTCGTCTCTCGCAGTCTCTGGCTGTGGCTGGGCGTGTTGGATTCCATCCAAGGTCTTGGATTCGGTATCATCCTTCTGCAGACTCTCACTCGGGTCCACATGTGTTTCGCTCTCATTGCATCTCAGGTGATAGGTTCCATTGCGACTATCTGCGCCCGAGCTTTCGGTCCGAACAGTGTGGGCCCCGGCCCAATTTCTCCTGACATGACACAGGGCGCTCATGCCTTGGCTAACGCCTGGTTCTGGGTTGCTTTATTCTGTCAGTTGTTGATCTGGTATGTTGATCTTTACTTGTCTTGTTCAGTGGAATGATTACTAACATTTATCTACAGTGCCGGGTTCTTGCTGTTCTTCCGTAAGGAACAGCTCGCCAAACCATAAGCTCCTTCCTTTTGGAGCATCTCTGTTTATTGTCATAAAACGGCTACGGCCATCACGACGAACATGAATGATCAAAATAATCTCTTCTGCATAATTGAAGCATGTTGTCCCCTATGTGATCTGTGATATATTTTCTTTATTCAGGTATCTTAATGTTAATACAACTGTTTTACTGAGTTCTTACTCGGTTGAATATATGCAATCGTCATCATCGTAGTGAAATAAAGCAGAATCGTATGCAGAGGTCTAGCAATTTTGCTTTTTCTTTACCTTAATCAAACAAAGTTCTCAGAGACATCCAGGACCAAAATTGTTCAAGTAGACTAGTCTACGCAGCGGTATAGACACCGAGGGTCAAAACCCCTTTTGGGAAACTTTGATGCCTAAATGCCTTATTTTAGATCGGCAGAAGAATTAGAATGCCTGAATTACAATTACAGTTGTTTTTATTATCCATGATAGATCTGAACGGGTATGAATGATGTATACCAGAAAATTATGTGCGGCAAGATCTTTGATGTTGGATCTTGTACCATTCTCAGTCACCCATGAACATCACCTAGGCATATCCTCGTAGCACTGCAGATGTTTTCGAGGATGCTCAGCCCTTTCTGCCTGTGGGAAGGCCGCTTTCTCTTATTTTGCGAAGTCTAGCTCGACTCACGCCGATTGCTGTTCGACGTAGTGTTGGAAGAAGAACTTCCTGTTTCTGCGCTACCAACTCGTCGTGGTGTGGACCTCGACGGGCCCGGGGTGGCCGTGTTCTCGGCCTGTTTCACTCTCTTCCTCGGTGCGTCGTCTCTGAACTTTGTCCACCCTCTAAGCACTGATCGCTACCCTCGCCGACAGATCCTATAGCGGGCTGCCTTCCTTGAGGTACGGAAACGGGATCATAATAAGTTCGTACAGATCAACCTTGAGCGCGCTGCCCTTCTATGTGCTGAGTGTCGTGAGGATCGTGGTAAAGGGTTGGACCATCCAGCTCGAAAATATCATAGGGTCTCATAGCCACAAAGTAACGGTCGAGTCGATCGGCAACTCTATCTTTTTGAGGTGTTAGTGTGAACAAATATCGGAAGAGACAGAAACATACTCTGCTGACTGGCACTGGAACTCTATCTGTGTTGGTCCACCATGAAGGTGGAGGAGTGATCGTTAAAGACACTTGATAGGGTCTGCGTTTTCCCAGTCAGGTGCGCATCCAGGAATGCCCAGGTCTTGTTACTCCGCAGCTCAACCGTCACCGACGTCGTCAGTCGATAGTGAGGTATTCCATGGGACACTACAATAATACTGACGACTCTGGCACATGGTAATAGGCACAACACCCGTCTCAGCCAGCCTGCCATTGTAGACAGGCCGTGGACGATTCTACCGAAGCTCTGGAGAACCACAGTGCGTGCGTAGAGCACCTGTGGGGTGTGGTTGGCGTGCGTTCCGGGCTCAAAACCCCCTGCGGCGCGGCCCGATGCCGTTCCAACCGAGTTTTTAGGGTATGTTACCTCACTGCGGCTCGCTCATTCTCCATGCTCTGTCCTTACCCCTATCAGCTTCAATTCACATGCGGGGGCCTGGAGATTGATCACCGAAAAAACGCTTTGACATGTGGTCTAGAACTGTTCTGACTTCGTTGGGTCATGGACTATCCAGACTAGTAATCTTACCCGCTAGCGCCCGTTGTCTGCCCAGCTTATTATGAGTACCAGTCAAAACAACAACTTCGTCCTCAGACCTGCAAAATTCGGCAATGAGGCAATGGCCAACTTCACCAGCACCAGCCACAGCGATCTTCATGATTCCCGAGATCGATGTGAATCAGAACTTGGGAGACAAGTGCAAATTGTGACGTCAACTCGGGGCAACTAAAGAAACTCGGGAGGAGAACCATACCATTCAAACTTATATGAGTTGTCCTCATTAATAACTCCTTTATCGTTAGTTACTCTATCGAGGTCGCGTCATGCATGCGATGTGGATTCCAGGCTTCGGTTGTAGCTGTGAGTACCAGGTCTCGCGATGCAGCCGAAAGAGGAAAGCCAAGTGGGGCGCATGCTGCATCGGGTGGACACGGAATGGGTCAATTTTGGGTTAAAGCAGCCAATAGAGTTGTAGATAGTGAAACTACCTTCGAAGGTTGAGTTAAAATTTTAGGGACACAGCATCCATGGATGGAGGGACTGCTTGCTACAACAGTACAGACGGGCTTAGAGATTATGATCTGGATAGCTCAAAGTAGACGCGCAGCACATAATGGTCCGTATTCTTACTTGACCCTCTAAGCTCCTTTTGCATCTGTCACGGAAGAACTGGACAAGGTCAACATGTTCGGGTAGCGTTAAGAATATATCTCAAACATAGTAAACACAAGCAGATCTCCTAGCTAATTTTACCCAGTAAGTAGCTCAGCGCCCTCTCGTCCCATTCACCGTAGGAACTCCGCGCCGCATATGCGAGATACCTTGCAGTCAAGAGAAGGAGGCTGCTAGGATATATTCCGCATATGGTTGGGATCTTTGTGCCCTTCAGATAGATTCCTACACGCCGTATTGGGCTGGCCCTGTAGAAACATAAATATGAACCACGTAGCGGGATTTTCTGATAGTACGTCCCTACCTCACTCCGAGTCGGCTTCTTTGTATTTGGACCGCGCCAGCATATCCAACCCTCCGTGACAACAACCGTGTCTCGGATCAGCTTCGAGGAATCATCTCCGCTTAATAACACGGTGCGGGCTTTGTCCACGGGTGCATGCGGGTCCCGAGACGTCGTCCGAATGAAGGAGGTCTGCTTGTAGGTGTCTGTTGTACCGGCTCGGGGTAACCGAACTACCGAAACACTGCCTCGATTAAGGTTCACCCGGGATTTCCATAATGCAGGAAAAGTGTCTACTTTGCCGGATATAGTTTACTTACAATATACGCTAGTACTCAGCTCTTGCGCAGACTTTGCCAGGCGCTAAACAATTGCGATGCATTACAAAGACAATCAATCGGTCGAGATCGACATCCTGTTGAGATTTCCAAGAATTATGAATCAGTGCGTCAGTCGATCTCGATCTCGCTGTTGCGATTCCTGAAACGTCCCGTACTTTATATTTCTCGTATGTCTACGTAGCATTCGAAGTGTTCGAACTCATTATTTCAAGACTCCAAAAATAGCCCCTCGCTTCAGCTTACGAAAGACGGTCAGTGAGAGTAGGACGAGATGGACGCGACACGTGTTGAATCAACTACTGATGTGCTGATCATTGGAGCCGGGCCATCAGGGCAAGTGCACTGTACCCTGAGACTTTCGCCATACTAATCCGTCTGCTTAGCCTCATGGCGGCTCTATGGATGGCGCGATGCGGTGTCAACGCCCGTATTATCGATACCAATATCACGAAAACCTACAGAGGCAGAGCCGATGGTCTCCAGCCTCGCACCACGGAGATTCTTGCATCATTCGGCATTGCTAAAGACATTCTGGAGACCGCTTGTTCTGTGCACGAGTCGACTTTCTGGGTCTGCCACCTAACTAACATTAACAAGCGATTATGCCGGTTGTTGACTTTGCTTTAGGCCGATGACGGTGAAGGTGGGATCCAGCATGTGGTACGAGTCTCCGAGTGGTCTCCTGATCTAGGACGATACCCTTTGATCACGACTTGCCAAGGTTCGTGCAAGAAGCTCCTGCCTTTTCTCGCCTCAATGAGTTCTGAAATCCTCTGAATAGGTCGAGTGGAGCGCTGCATGCTGGATGGCATGAAACACTACAACAATCTCGAAGTGGAGCGTGGGGTTAAGGCCGTGGACCTTGAAGTGGATGAGTCTACAGTCGAGGACCTGGATGCCTTCCCCATCGCCGTTACTGTTCATCATCTGCCTGAAGAGGAGTTGTTGGAAGCATCTACGCACCAGACCATACCGCAGCCTGGGGACTTCAACTATGAAGCCGAAGATGATGCTTACAGGACTCGTCACCTTAGCGGCAAAGAAGGCTCGAACGAGACCATCAGGGCCAAGTACGTGATTGGGGCGGACGGGGCCCGTAGCTGATTGCGCAAAACGCTCGGAGTCAGCTTCGAAGGAGACCCTCATGAATCAGTAGGAGGGGCGTTGGACTGTCAAGTCGAGACAGATTTCCGTCAGTTTGAATGGACCCCTGAAGAAGTAGACGAACTCGCTAACGAAAGGCAGCGGACAAACTCAATCGATGTATTATACTCAGAGAACAGCAGGCATTGATGGTAATCCCTCGCGAAAATGGTATGATACGTTTGGGGGTGTTTTTTGGAAAAAATTGACCGGAGTTCGGTCACACCTGAGGTCCTCCTGGAAAGGTTTCGACACCTGATCCGTCCTTACAGAATCGAACTTCAGGCTTACGATTGGCATGGGGTCTTCCAATCCGCTCAAAGATGTGCCTCAGAACTATCTCGTTTGGATAGGACTTTTCTGGCTGGTGATGCACTCCATACACATTCGCCGAGAGCCGGGGTTGGATTAAATTTCAGCATTCAAGACAGTAAGTAAATATCTGAAAGTTGTCCGCATCCGAATGTCCTAATATATACAGCATACAATCTGGGTTGGAAAATCGCCCGTGTAGTGAAGGGTCTCGCAAAACGAAGCACACTCAGATCGTATACCGAAGAGCGTGGCCTGGTATGCAAACAACTCATAGAGTTCGACAGGAAGCTCTCCCACGACTTTATGAGTGACGACCCGTTCAGTCCCCAAGCCGTCCGAGACGACTTTGTCAAGGGCCTTCCCTTCACGAGTGGTATCGGAATCGAATATCCGGATGGGTTGCTGGTGGCTAAGGAGATTTCCAAGCAGTACCTGGCTCCTGGTGCTATGGTAGGAAGAAGACTCCCCTCTAGCTGGATTGTCGGTCACGGCAGCGGGGGCCCAGTGGAGCTTGAGAAACGCCTCCCCACGGTCGATACAAGTTACTTCTCTTTCCTGGTGATCTGACCAACGCTAACTCACTAGAGCGGGTCCGTAACTTCAGCCAGGCACTGGAGCGGCCCATCTCGTTCATCCAAAGACTCAATATGCGCAACATCGAACCCAGGATTGTGCTCAATGTCCATATCATCCATACAGCTCCCGGGGACAACATCAACCCTACTGATATACCTCCGTTCTTGACCAAGACATTATTCTCCGGGCAGATCTGGGATGAATATTTGTTGACAACGAGGAGTTGGGTCAAATTGTGACGAGCAACGCCTACTCTGGGTACGGAATCGACCGCGCCGCTGGGTGCATTATTCTCCTTAGGCCAGACAGGCATGTTCTATATCGGAGAGTTGGAAAATATACATGACCTGGAAGAGGTCATGTCCAGTATTTTAGCTTAGACAATCGATAAAATGTATACGTGGCTTGGGACGCCATCCGAAATAATTATGAGTGCTTGTATGCTACCACATTAGAGTCCCAAAGTCAACGCGAATAACCAGGAGCGGCAAGATACGCATTATACAATCAAGACCCTAGCCGTCCGCTACCTAGTCCTCGCGTAGATGCTAAAAATGCAACGGACAAACTCCTCTCTCTCCATGAACGTATTAGTGTGTGGTTATGTACAACGATGCTACACCAGTCACAACTTCTTCCTCTACGAGAGCATGCCCAAGAAAAGAATGAGGCTATTTCGTACGGCCCATGGTGCTTAGATTCATGGCGGCGCAAGTGGTACTAATGCTTGGCCAGAAGACTTCATTAAGGTACACGATAATCCTTTTTCATACAAGAGGGATGCGCTAAGCTCTCCCAATGGCTCGTGAGGGATTACCCACCAGAGCCTAATATGACGTGTGAACTCATTATACAGTCATCAACTGCTCATAGAAGCCACCGAATTGATAAACAGGATCACGGAGATGGATCTCCAAGATCCAGTGGCGCTTCAGCCCGTCGCGGCCAATTGAATTTATCTTCTCCTTGTTCCCCTTTTTGATATAGAGAGACAACCGATCATGGGGGATCCGTTCATGCGGAAAGCAGCCGACCAGATGGCCTGCAATCTCAGCACCGAAATCGAAGCCGAAGCGCTGGGCCTCCGCGCATGCAATCTCGTACAGCTCTTCACCAGTGATACCAGGGCTTGCCAAGTACTTCCCTCTGACTATTTTCCAGATCGGCTTCAGCGAATCTCGAAGCTTCAGCTTGTGATGGTCCTCCCCGAGAACAAATGTGCGGCCAAAGTCTGCTTCCCAAGCCTCAAATATAGGTCCCAAGTCCACGACGAGAATGTCGTCGGGTTGAATGATGCGGTCGGGGGGGGGGGGTGTTCTCTGCGAAGGGGCGCAAGGTATTGGGTCCACTGCGCACGAGTCGCTTGTGCCAGTGCGATTTCACACCGTGCAAGGCGCCTAGATCGTATATCTCTTTGTTTAGAGTCTTCTCGCTGATTCCAAACCTGACCAATTGGTTCTCGATATCTTCGAATAACGCGGCCGCTTTGATCTGAGCCTCTAGAAGATGTTCAGCGCGCTCGATCTGCTCATGTGTCGGGGCTTCGGTGACAACATCTGGCCGTGGCGCAGAAAAGAAATTGAAGAACGTCCCAAACATTTTGACGACATCCGAAGTTGCCTCGCAATACCTCGCTGTCGAAGGTTCTGTTGCGGAATGGGTTAAGTACTAGAGCTTATAGTACAGTTTTCTACCTGGGAACTAGCCCGGCGCCAGCCCCGAACTCAGCCTGGAGCTGAGCATACAACCACCTGCCCGTTTGAGCCATTACTCGAACTTGGAAGTCCTAGGTGTGCGTGAGCAGATTTCAACTACTCTGGCCTATGCGTATACACTATCTTCTTCCTATATAAGTCTCCGCACCCTCAACAAGGCTTATCTCCGGCAGAGTTACCTCGTGCGCATTGGCCCCTCTTGAATTTCGCTTATTGGCCAAATGAGGTAAGTCCGAGCGTCCGTCGACGCAGCAGGGCTATTAACCAATCCCAATGCGAGTTTTACGGCCCAAACCCCTGACAATTCGCCAAATTAGGAACGATGTACTATCCGGTCAGATCAATTGTCCAGCCGTTTGGCGCATTTAAGCAGAGCGGGATTGGCTGTGAACTGGGGCAGACAGGCCTGGATGCTTATTCGAATCTTAAGGCCGTTCATGTCAATCTGGCGTTGCAGCCTTCTCTATAGCTTCGCCTATGAAGGGTAGTGGAATATGACGAAATACGAAATAGTGGTATTCTGTTTTGTCTGCCATACACTAGAAAGCCCGGAACAAGGCTCCGGAATGTGTCTCAGAACTTGCACCAGCCAGTAGGCCAAGGGATAGCGACTATTTCCCTTTCAGTCTGCGCTGAAGTTATTGACTCGCACGTAAACTCTGCCAGTAGCTTTCTCTACTATATAAATACTTAATCATACAAATCCTAGGGCATGATTGTATACTTCCAGGAAAGTCGACTGCGACCGGCGGCTTATTATGTCGAAGTCTTCCAGTAGTGCTGTTGTGTGCTGTAAACTATTGGGCTGTAAACTATGGACGTGTGGTGAGCCTTCAGGATTCGGGCCGATCCGGCATTATGATGTCGTTGAGGAATGTGACCTATAGATTGTAAGCTCCATTATCCACAGCCAGAAGCAACACTTACAAATGGCTGTAGTCTTCTGATAATATCAAGTATCTTCTCTTGACCATCCTCTGCTGTAAAGATCTCATCCTCAACGTATTTCACAACGTGGTAATTTCGTAATTTCAGTAACTGGATATCCCGATGGTCTGCATCGTAGCCCTGTTTCGGTCAGTCTGCGGTCGCATACTCTCCGAAATCGGTCAGCGAACCTTTGGCTTTGTCTTTAAAGCCCCATCTTTGTTGGCATAAGCGAATGCCTTCAGCGCACCTTCGGTTCCTCCCTTCGTGGCCGGCAGAAACGTGCTCACAAGCGGCTCTGAGCTCAAGAGTTGACGCCAGTCCTCAGGTCTCTCGATAATGCTCTGGCGCAGTAGCTGAATAGTTGGTGGCTCAGGTGCCCAAAGGCCGCCACCAATATATGATGACCCAGGGTCAAGGTGGAGATAATAGCAGGCATACGGTCTCCTCCTACCGGTCCGGGAGAAGGCTGCGGAAAAGTGAGACTGCGGCACAGTGAGCCTGACTTAGCATTATACCGTTGTGAGATAATCAGTGGAATAACCAACTTTGTAGGGTCTTTGGTCCCTGCTGAAGCGAACGTCTCGATATATTCGGAATATGATGTCTCTAGGTGGCAGCTCCGGGATAGTGGTGTCGAAGGCAATGATTTTTGGCAACAGCGTTTCCACAAATGACTCCCAGTCTTTCATTGCTCGCCTGAACTCCTTTTCATGATCTATCACAGGTTATTAATGGCCGTTTGCATCGTGTCAAGGCGCTCTTACCCTTGAACCAAGCGCGTTGGTTGTTGGTCCTGAGATCCTTCAGATACAGGAGTGTGTTTTTGTGTACTCTGGTGTGAGAGTACTCAATTCCATCAAGCGGACGTAACTGCACGTGAGGAATAATGGTGAATCTTGGATAATCTCCTGCTTCGACGTCCTTCTCGGAGGCAGCAGAGTCATTCCGTTCGCTTCCAACTTCTTCCGCATCGGGCAGGTAATTGTCATCATCATCGCTGTGGGTGTCTTTGAATGCCCCTTTGTCACTCCCATTGTTTTCAACATCACTTGCGGGACTGTTGTTTCTGTGAATCTTCACAGTTCGCTTCGCAGCGGGCGACGCTGCGGCGCGCTTGCGGCTAGGCATTTGCAGTTCAGCCTAATTTCACTACGGAATTGTAGGTTGGTAAGTGCTACGTCTAGGAAAAAATTATTCTACAGAGTCAGCAACGGATTTGTATCGCTGATTACCCACCGCTGGTCTGTCTACCTTGCATTCCACCCTAGCACAGCTGGGTGCCACAGTAAAGGGGTCCCGCTTGCCTTTCCTGGCCAGATCGCGAGATCCCGAGGCTTGGCTATGCTAGACTGTACCAGAAAGAATATCGCAAAGGAAAAGCCTCCTCCGGCAACTTGGAAAGACGAATTCGAAGCCCGAGAGTTGGGGAATTGACGTGATGGGAAGTTCTACACCCAATCCCCAATTCCTACTTCTATAAAGGACGTCTGACGCGCTTACGGCTAGTTTACAGGTCAGTCAAACGCTTCGGGCTCCAAATAAATAAGATCAGTGTCGATGTCGGTGAAGGCAGACGCACCGAAGAACACGAATCTGTGGAGCGGTCGGAGCCTTGCGGCCTCGCGATCTGTCCTAAAACGGAAATGAAAGTGGGGACCAAGCTAGCAGTGCATGTACGAACGAGGTTCAAGATTCCATGGGCACGACCAAGAATCGAATATCCTCTTGCATCACTGATGTTATTGCCGTCACGTCCCGAGTCTAAGCCGTCCCCGGGTGAGTTCTTCGGATATTGAATATATTCGTCTACTGCCACGGACAGAACAAGAAGCCTCACAATTAGTTCAATTCTGTACCAATGAATCCATTCCCTTTTCTGTTCGCTCAGGAGGTCACGACTTCTTCGGTCGCTCCCTGGTTCATGACGGCATTCTCATCGACATGCGCGCAATGGACTGAGTTATAGTTGAACCGGGAGGCAGCGCCCAAGTTGATGCAGGGGTGGCTGCCGGCGCTCTGTAGGAAGCACTCAATTCTCAGGGCTTATTCATCCTCACTGGACAGGGAAAACCCGTGGGCTATGTTTTGTGAACCTGTGCTGGAGGATATGGCTTCAATATGGGAACGTACGGGTTTCGGCTCGATCAGATCCTTGCGGCTCGGGTGGTTGTGGCGGGGGCCGCGTTGTTGATACCGATGAGATCCAGAATTGCTGTGGGCACTCCGCGGCTCCGGGGCCGGCACATTTGGCATTATCAGCTTTGCTTGAAGGAGTTCCTAGTGCCTAAACTATATGCTGGCTTCCTAGCCTTCCCTCTGGCCGAGGCCGCAACTGTCATGGGCAGGATCGAAAAGCCTTTTGAGGGAAACTCACAGTCTGTAGTACACGGTCCAAGGCATGACCCAACTGCCAGCGGGAATTAGGTCGCACAGGTTGAATGGAAAAATGGGTTGAATGCAAGAGTCTGACTTAGGTACCTTTTCTATAGGATACACATACAAAAGGTACTTCAAAGCCATTATGATTTAAACATGAATGTCTCGACCACACCACTATTTTATTATCAAACAGACGTATAGTTAAGTTAATGTAGGCTATATAGTATAGTAAAATATAATTTCAAGTCGAAATAAAAGTCGAAATAAAAGCATGTTCTAGGAAAAGCTTCTAGAGTAGTTTTGCACCACACACTACTAATATGGTTGTTAATTTTCTCTACTCTCAGATATCCTTTTAACAAAAAATATCAGTAGGTAAACTAAAGATAGTAGACTAAGTTATGAATATTAATTCGCCTTCCTATAGTCCAATCACGTGGGCGACATATTCATGTTTAAATCATAATAGGTTTAAAGTACCTTTTGTATGTGTATCCTAAGAAAAGGTACCTAAATCGGACTCTTCCATTCAACCCACTTTTGCATTCAACCCGTGCGACCCAATTCCCGCTGGGAATTGGGCCGTGCTTTGGCCCCAGTAGCTGGATACCATATTCCTAATGATTTTGCTTCTCTGTAAATATGCAGGCCTAAGTGTGGCTTATCGATCTCTTGGGGTTGCGACTGCGGGCCCGGGGAGGAACTTCGGGGCCATTCGGGGCTGTGTTAAGGCGTCGATGCTCAATTGGGCCTTAAGCTTGGGCTTCCTCTAGCCCCGAATGACCCCGAAGTCCCTCCCTGGGCGCCGGAAGCATCCCATCTTATCCCTTCATGGCATTATCATGTTTATCTTCGTCCATGGTCATAAACGATGATAAGGCTTTTGCTGGAGCGTATGAGTCGTCCTCTCTCTCCGAAAAGGAGCAGCCCACTCATATGCACGACGTAGAACTCCTCTTTATCAACTACGAGGCAGGCGCCACGATCGCAAGCCACTGGCAGAAGGTGGCCGCGCCTCACTCTGATGCTATGGAGGGCCTGGAACTTACGGCCGCAGCTGCACAGCAGGAATCCGAGACCCCCCCGTGCCATAACTGCGGCAAGGTCGGCCACCTAGCACCATATATCGATCCCATATGCGAAATACCATGGACAGTGCATAAATAATGTTACGTTCTATACAATAGTACGAATGTGCTATCTAGACCGGGTGTGCTTTTTCCTAGCCTTTGGGGAGGCATAGGGATTCTGGTACTGAAGTTGGCCAGATAGTCTTATATCTCATTTTAGGGGCATATAACTAAGGCGTGAAACATATCACGCTAATCCATGTCTTTCGACTTTACGATGCCCTCCAACTTCAGTTAAAGATCGAAGATCTTAAGCGATGAACTGTCTCTGGAAAAGCAACTGTAAGGGGCTGCATTCATTCCACATTGGCAGACCAGTTTGACACTGTGAATGTAGCCTTCCCGCCAGTGAATGGCTCTGTCCCAAATTGCACGGCTGGAGCAGGTATAACCCATTAGTATGTTCCACGCTTTGAATCACATGTCTTTGGAGTCACGTACTGATGAGATTTTGTGTTTTGGCTGGATATCCTTGGTTCTCAGTCAGGTAGTCAAAAAATGCCTTGATATCCCCGCTCCAAGATTTAACAGGATTTGAAGCGACAAAGCTGTACGTCTTCTGCGAGCCATTGGCGCCATTCCAAAGCTCCCAGGTGGCGCCCCCAACAGTGACCGTCCCAATCTGGGAACCTATGGGTTGGACTTCGCCGTATCTAGCCAGCCTAAGTGGTTGATTTGGTTAGCAGTCAACTACAAGCTGAGGTCGCCTCACATACCAAATCATGAGTTCATAGTCACCACTAGAGGGATCATGGTTGATATCCGCTGCTGTGAAAAGGTCATACGCAACGTCGGCGCGGATATCGGTGGTGTCATAGCTCCACTTCACAGAAGTGGGAATGCTACCGATGTCGCTGACGGGCTGCTTCTTCAAATTAACCAAGCCCGAGTTAGGGTAGCTCTTCACATTATTCGCACCACCGGACCAGGTCCAAGTGGTGGACCATGAGATGCCTGAATCCAAGACGGAGTTGACGTAAAGGCACTGAGAGCCAGTTCCAGAATCCTTCCCCCAAACATTGTTGTTGACACTGTAAGCGCCGCTGGCGTAGTAACCATATTGTTCACATAGCGTGTGTTGTTGGGCGAGTGCAGCCGTAGCAAATGCAATGAATAGAGAAGTGGTCTTCATTTTGAAAAGGAAGTGAACAAGATGTACTGTTGTATAAAAGAACTGGGTTGAACGTTTACATCCTCAGCGCGATATCTTCGAAGACTTTATAGTTGTGACAACTACCCTGACCAAGTTCAGACCCCAAACCTCCTTTCTCTTTCTGTCCACAAGACGGATTATCAACGGAAAAGAACCCATATTCGCTATAGGATCGACGTTAATTATGTCGAAGGATTCTGTAGCATAGGTCGTAGAACACCTGGATTCGAGTATGCGACAGATACAAGCTCCTCTCCCGGCGAAGTCTCCGTGTCGCCAAAGGTTAAGGTAATTCTTGAGTGGGCCGCGCATCCCCATACTATTCAGGTGGTTGATCTGCGGATACCTTAGCACTCGAGACTGGCGTACAACTAACATCAGACCAATCAAAATCCATACCTGTCGTCGATATACGGGTAGCCAGCGCTGACTTCTTCAAGGAAGTGGTGTCTCTGAGTGATAGGTTCAACAACCCTGCCGCAGGAGTAGTCTCCACTGTTACGGCTGGTGTTAAGTCTCATCCCAACTACCCCTTGTATCACCCTTTCCCTTTTATACATTAATGCTTGGAATTTAGATTTAAATTTTCCGCTGTTTCCTGAGCCTCGATAGCAAGCAATATCCTTTCCTCTTGGTTCTCACGCTTATTGCCAGAATAGTGCGATCTTTTTGGCATGGATTCCATTCCTAGGTGAATGGGAATACTCCTAGCGTTGGCACAAACTGGTACTGACGAACCAACTACTGCCCACGGCGCTTCGTACAGATAAAGTTACAGAAAGGTCGATGTTTTGGGCCAAGCGTTTCGGATTAGTAGTCAAGCTTCGCCATTAGGATTTCCATACTACGTTGGGAAAAGGAAGAAAGCCATTAAGGTCTCCAAATGACGACACCGAAAGCTGAAATTACGAGGTGACCCTGCATTAGCTTCTTATTTCTTAAAGTTCTTAGCCTACGCCTCACTAGAACGGCCAGAGCCGCCCCTGCTGATCCCTACTCCGTACCTACAGATGATACAGCCAGCGACAAACAACTAGATGGGGAATAAATTTGGTTCAACATGAAACCTTGAGATAAAACTAGGAAAGATGCGACGGAAGCCCGATTGGGAAGTTGTAACATTTAATTGTATTTTCTCTACTACCAAAGCTTTCTTCGTATGTTCGAAGGCAGCAACTTTTCACCATGGTGAATGCCTCCAAATCCTCTAGGTCACCTCCCATTTGCGACGGTGAAAGCGGTGATGGAAGGCTCCGCAATGAAGGAAACGTTGTCTACAATATAGGTGACTGTCATACGGTTGTAGATGTTGTGACGGAAGCTTGACCGTATGAATTGAGCTCACCGGGAGAAACCCCTGTCTTGACTCTTGACCTGAAACCTAGCCCGTTCAGGCACGGGCTTATGGGCGTTTGGTTGAGATTGGCAGGTTGGACTGGGCAAAGAACATTAAGTATGAAGATCAGTGGAGAATTACTCTGTTCGGCAGTTGACAGTGTTTAGACTGCCGAGTAAGTTGTCAAATTAGGAAGCTTGTCCGCCTGAGGTAGTAATATAAGCGATTTGAATGCTCTGACCAACACGGAGGATGCTCCATATAGAATTTTAATCAATTTAGCTTAGTCTAGTCCTTCGAGTGAATGTCTTAAATGTCAATTCCATCCATCACCTGAATTGGCTAGAGTGATCGGATGCAAGGCGGGAAGTGGTTGCCTTCAGTATGTAAATCCAGTGAAGACCTGTCCCATCACAGATGTTATAAATGACACCAAAGTATACATCGAGAAGCACATATACAAGCGCGGGGCACTATACGAGCCCGAGGTATATCATATCCTCCTATGGCAGTGGATTTTGGAGGATTGCTAGGTATTAAAGTTGGCAAGATCGTCTCATATCTCAGATCATACCAATTCACAATTTCGAGCTGAGAATGGCTTTTAACTTCAGTTCAAGATTGAAGATGTTTAACGGTGTTAGTCATTATAGAACTCAATGGGAGATTAAGAAGAACAACAGCTAACCCGAGAATGTCGCTTCATATCATCTGGTTTTTCTTCAACGGCGTTGCAATATAAGTCTCAATTGAGCCATGAGACGGTCTCCCACGTGTCGTTTAGTTGAGATGTATCTTCCGGTTGGAATGAAGAAATTATCTTTTAGTCATTCATGGCAATCTTCAGGGCTCTTTTCGCAGAAGTAAATAGATATCTTGTTTATAGATCGGGCCTCGATCAATGTTGATTTGCTATGAAGGCCATCGCCTCTTAATGTGAAGAGCTTAAAATGAAAGTTGTAGTCAAAACCCCTAGCCGCGGTAGATCTCGCTCGTCGACTTTAAAGCTTCGTGTGGGATTTAGTAAAATAGAAGCCAAGGGAGTGCCAAAAATCCAAACTCACTCAGGGAGGACTTATGCGTTGGCCTGCGAGTCTTTGCAGAAATCCCGAGGTACGCTTCGGCTCTCTGTGCGCTTTCAGTATCACGGAATTGTTCAGCGCTCCTTTGGTCCTTGCCGGATTTCGAGAGAATAGTCCCTTACCCGGTAATGCATCCATGTAATCTGTTTGATATATGGCTGTTTAGCGTCTGTCCCTCAGATAGTTTTTTGCCCTCGCTGTGAACTACCTGTATAGTATGATGATAAGTAAACCTGAATTCCGATTCACTTTTAAACCCCTTCTGCTCTTAAATCCTGTTTCTTCGAACCCCGTTTATGTTGAGAAATGCACATCGATCCTTGTGATAGGACCATTAGTGCGGGGATTTTCAGTATTAGACACAAATGAACGGTTCCAGCTCCGCTCGTGATCAGGCAATGCCCATTTGACCATCCAGTCTGACATTAGCACTTCCTCTTGCGGCCGGAATGACAGCATCCGGCGCATCAAATCCAGAAACGCAGATTTCTCGTTTCCCTCAATCTCGCCTCCCACCTTACGTCTCCATTTCTGCACACCGATCTCAAATAACCCCTCAAGCGGAGGCCATCTATTTTCACTATGGCACTTGGTTGAATACCCATACTCATCGAAAAACCGGGATCGTCCTTCCCAACGTTGTCATTACGTCGGAGGCATAGGTCCTAGTACATCGATATGTTGAGACACTATTTCATCCCCATCCACAAAATCAGTGCTGAAAATAGCCTTCATTCCGATAATCTCCCAGATTGCCGTAGCCAGACTGCAGATATCTAAGGGATATGAGAGCGGTATCTTCGATTCGAATTTGGCTTCAGGGGCTCGAAACGCGGATGGCGTATGGCAGTCTTGTCCAAGACGAGCTTCTAAAGTAGGGGAAAGCGCCTCACCAAAGTCACTTAGAAGCGGGTGCGCGCCGGATAATAAAAAATTCTCCGCATATTTCCCTAGGAATAGCGGCACAGCAGCTTTAGCTGGGGCATCAAGGGGTAATGGCTCTCCATCACATCGTGTGATAGGAATTGTCTCGGGCTCGCCGTATTTTGCATAAAATTGCTTAATAGAGAGCTCATCGAAAACCTGACGGAAGTTTGACCAAAATCTTGCTCAAATGAACATCTACAAATTAAGCATTAGGTTGCTAGTACCCGAAATAGATATTTTTATCGCTATGACAAACCTCCGTGGATATAGCCTTGTGAATGTGTATAAGCAACGGCCTGTGCGAGTCGATATGATGGTGCTCGAGCAACTTCGACGGAGAAAAAACGGCTAAAGGAGATCTCGAGATTGCACTGTGAAGGGTTACGGTGTAGCATATATGTTTCCCATTAGGACCTTGTACTTTGAATTCATCTTGGAATACAGGTACTGAACCAAGCCCCGGATGCACGGGAGGAGGCGGGGCAGATAGAACCTTGAGGATTTTCGTCTCGCGCGGATTCGAGTCAGCTATATTGACCTTTACAGCAACATATCGGTTGCGATGAGTATCTCGGGCAAGCCAAACAGTCGAATATCCCCCGAACTCAAGTTTGTCTACAATATGATAACGGTCATGTAGCATGTCACCGACCATAGGATGGTAACACCCAGGCTGATATTCTTCAAGTGTCTCCACACCCTTGATCCAGTTGTACTCCATGCGATGGTCCTCGGTCCTTGTGGTGACCAGCCGGGTCAAGTCGCGCTTTCGAGGACGGAAAAGGGATTGGTAAACTGGAAATGAAGGACGAGATGAGACCGGTAATATTGGAAAGTGGACAAGCCTGGCGAATGTTTTCAAGCAGCGTGTCATGGTATGTTATCGGGATTGTTCTAGAACTGACTAGGAAGCTCCCTGTGAAGGGGGATGGGTTCCATGCAATCACGTTACAAGCAGCTCGTGTGGAAATGGGAACGGTCAAAGCCCGGTGGCCAGAGCACAACATTTCCATCGACATCACACTTTCTTCCACTATGAGTCCACAAGGTCACCGACCAAACAAAGCTGATAGCCGAGGAAAATTCGCACCAGTCGGGAATGGCGTCATTAATTTCTTCCCTTAAGCACAGCTGACGAGCTAGAAAGCACGTGTCTATTAGATCGGAATTCTGGAGACAACGCATTCAGCAAACCTGAAAATTCTAGGCATCGGGCTACAAAGGAGATCTCTGAAGAAACGAAGTAGTCGATTGCAACGGGAATAAGGTGGACGGAGAGAGAGAAGAGAGAGAACTCTGTCTAGCTACCTACTGGCAAACAAGCAAATAGGCAGACAGACGAACAGGCAAACAGGATTAAGGGGGTCATCGGAGCTCTGTGTCAACAGCTTATCGGCCTGGTAAACCTCTCATATCACGTGATTAATTCTTATTAGCGTACTACAACATAGGATGTCTATCAAAGCATCTAAGTGTGGAAAGCGTACAGAGTATATGGCGGCGAATCTTAATAACCTTCAGCTTCCCCCCTATCGAGGAAAATGTGAGTTTAATTAGAAAAGGAGAAGTCATTATGACTTATAGTTAACTCAATAGCGCCAAAATCATCGTCCGTGACATCATCAGGGGAAGCAAGGTGCTCAGTCCACAAGAGACAGAGAGTTCTCCTGCCACGACTGCATCGGAGGCAAAGCTTGACTATTTGTAGCCTAGAATACTGCAGATCCAAATACAGGCCTTCCTATTAAATGTGGGTCGACAGATAGTTGGACCAAACATAGTCGAGCGGACCGAAACTAGCGAGTCCGAATTCGAGCTCGCGTGAACGGCGGGGATTGTTCAGCTGAAATGTGGAGTAGCCGACAGATATGACGGGCGGACGGATTCGTAGGGGAAGAATCGTCCATGGATATGGTCTCGGGAGAGGGACATTGGTGTGGGGTTGTAAACATCGATATCAAACTTTGAATTGTTTTGCTCTGTTATATACCGTAGTGTTTTGTTCTGCGCCGGAACCTTTGATTGTGTGGGCTATGACCTTCTCCTTTGCCGATCTAACCTCGAGACAAAGGCCCACCGAACTGACAGATGATAGATTGGATTGGGCTTTATGGTGCCGATCAGCGGGCTGTAAATGAAGTCGGAAGATCTGAGCTGCCATCTGTCATGGCGACGTTGCTCCGGCGCCCTTTCCTTTCCTTTCCTTTTGTGACTTCTTCTCCCCCGAAACTCGAAATCTTTGCTGCATGCTCAGAACTGCCCATCCTGAATGATGGCAACGGAAGTGTCAACCATGCAAGTGGCAACCAAGCTGGAAGCCAGAACGGAAGTTTCGCCCGACCAGGCCCCCGTGGGGGAAGACTCTGAATGGAACAAGCAACTCGCCAAGGATTGGAAGGCAATGGCGGAGAAAGTCCAAGAATTGGCGAAATTGTCTAAAGGCACAGGCTATGACAAAGACATCCAGCCTGAACAAGTGATGGCAAACCTGGAAAGAGTGCAAAAGAAAACCAAAAAAGACGAGGACTCGACCTGGAGCAAGGTCAAAACGAGCCTGAGCAAAACTCTTACTGTCATTTCGACGGTCGGAGGGATTGCTGCTGATGCTGCATCGCAGGTAAGCGGCTCCGTGGAATGAAGAAAGCATGCTTGACTGACTGCAAAGCAGGTCTTTGCCCCTGCTGGGCAATGCTACAACGCAATCAACTTTGTCATCTCAGCGTGGCAGGGCTACCTCGAGGCATTTCAAGTATTAAATGGGCTGTTTGAAGAATGTTTCGCTTTCCTCAACCGTCTACCGGACTACGTGAAGGGGAACATGAATGCTAATCTGAGCAGTGTGGCCAGTCAGGTTCTGCAGCTCTTTGTCAATATCTGTGAGAGGGCATTGCGCCTTCGTACCTCTCGTGGCTCGAAGTTCGTCCTATTCATGAAAGTTGCCTTTCTTTCCGATGACGATTTCTCGGGTTTCAGAGCTGAGTTGGACAAACTCACCAGGTGGGAAGGACTGAATGCCATAGCTAGGATCTATAATACTTCTGCAATCGCGGCGGATAGCGCCACCAAGGCAGTGGATATCTTGACAAATGACCGAGCAGAACAACAACTGAAAGAGCAGGAGCAACTCGACACAAGGCACCTCGTGAGAACTCTGGCCTTTGATGAGACCCCAGCGACCTGGAACAGCGCGGCACAGGCACCCATTGCGACCTGGAGCCAGATCAATTGCAGGATCCACAATCGTCTTGTTGAAGGGACTGGCGATTGGCTGTTCCAGGATGACTTGTTCACGACATGGGCGAAAAATAAAGGGGAACAGCCACTGCTCGCACTTGTCGGTGAGGAGGGCACAGGCAAGAGCTATTTGATTTCAGCCGCGATTAGCCACCTGCGAAAAGCCGGTTCTCTGCCGGGTCTCGATAAGGAAGACAGGTCTAGGCGTCTAGTTGCGTATCACTATATAGACGACCAGAAGCCCAACGCAGAGATCTACTCTCTGGGAAAGTCCATCATCTGGCAATTTGCTGCAAGCGATGCCTCCTATAAGCAATCAATCGCCGCTACCTGTCGCGATGCCGCCTACATTGAACCCAAGGAAATTTTGCCCCGGTTACTCCTAAACAACCACAAGGAGCTGAAGCATATCGACGCAGTGTTTTACGTCCTGATCAACAAGGTCGGCAGTCGGAACCACAACGTTGACGAGTCATTGGTGAAATTTCTGCATGCCGTTTCACACTTCAAGAACTCAGCGGTTCGTGTCTTGTTTAGCACAACGGCGGGTACTATCGAGACGCTCAAGGCACGCGACATTTCCTGCCCCACTATTCTGATCAGCGAAAAGAACGAGTCGGACAGACGGAAGTATATCGGCTCGCGGATGGATCGAATGCATGCGCTCGCAAACATCAGACAACGTGAAGTCCGGAGCGTCCGGGAAGAAATTGAAAATAGTCTGTGCGAACATATCGAGGGCAACTACTACCTCCTCAGTGCAACACTAGACAAGATCCACAATCTGGAAAACGAGGAAGATATCCGTGGTAGCCTCAACGGCGCGGAAAGAAGCATATCACAGCATATTCGCGATGACATCAATGTGCTCAATGACATCCGTACAGGAAAAGAGCTGGCAGAGATCAACGAAATCATCCTTTGGCTTAATTTTGCGAAGCAGCGGATGTCACCGGAGATGATGACGGCAGTACTGCAAGCCAAGAATAAGAGTGCCTCTCTGCTTCCACTGGAAGATCGCATCAAGAACAAGTTTATTCTGTTCGAGATCAATGAGGATGGATACGTCGATTTCCGAGCTGGGGACGTGCCGAGTAAGATTCCACAGCGCCGCGATCTCGCCCAGAAGCGGCTCAATGACAGCCAGGCCTTGAATCAGGGCGAGGCTGACGTCGTCAGCCATTTTCTCAAAAATGTGTGTCCACCGCATTTGCTTGATAAGATTGACCTGGACAGTCATCTCAAGCAGAAGATGAAAGTCCGAGAAGAACAGATCTGTCAAGAAGACAACCTCACGTCCCATTTCCTTATTGCCCAGACATGTGTTGATGTGTTGGCCAATGATGACGATGAGAGGCTGGCAGTATTGCGAGAATATGCAGTCGCTCATTTTGCACAGCATATGCTTGAAACTAAACGGGAATCGATCCCCCCACACTCGCTTGCTGAATTTGGATCAAATCTGATGAAACTGTTCCATGACCCAGATGCCATTGACAATCTTTTATGGGCTAGCAGTCCAGCTCCACAACTGCCAGACATGCTGCGCGATGTGAAGTTTGGAGGAGAGATTTCCCGGTGGTTGGAGGACCCAATCGTTGTGTCCAAGATTGACGCCAACGAATCCAAGCGTTGGTGGAAAATTGACAAGAACAACACACCCAATGCACTGAAGGAACCTTCAATCCGTCAGATGGCGGTGCATTGCTTCCAACGAGAATCACCAGCAGATGTTTCGATCACTGCGTTCAAGGGTATCCAAAGTTTCTGTCACCGGGTAAGTCTTTTGAAGGACGCTTTGCTTTCTAGGCTAATAATTCACTCTTCAGATGATGCAGTGTCCTAAAGCTGTTGCAGAATCGAGGTCACCATCTCCTGATGAAATTGAAAAGTGGTGCCTGGAGAGACTCGAAGCTAAACAAGGTGCCCTGTGGCATACCCAAATGGCGATCATTCTCAGAGCCCACAAAGAATTTGCCAAGGCAGAGGAGAGATGCAAGCAGGCCCTGAAAATTGATGAAAACTACTGGCGCGCCTCACTTCTCCAAGCCAAACTAGTCAAATCCCCAAAAGAGGCAATTGATACTCTGAAGAAGCTCACAAAGCGCTTCAAAGAGGATGAAAAACTTCAAAAGGGGCATCAAAAGGCCTTCGCTGATATTTCATATAACCTTGGAGCTCGGTACTGGGATGTGGACAAGATTGGCGACGCGATCGACTCCTATACCGAGTCAATTCGACGAGACCCTTCTGCTTCGGAGCACGCATTCCGAATCATGTCGGCGTGCAAAGATAAAGGAAAGTGGCCAGATATTATAAACCTAATCGATTTAATCGATGATCTTGGCAGGGACCACCTCACTGCGATGGTCGTGGCGATGTCGGAGACTCAAGACTTTCATACAATCATTTTGCAGGCCCTGAAGGAGACCGGTTATCTCAGACGTGAGAGGCTTGAGGTGCTCTATGAAAATGCGATATCAATCATCAAAGATCGGGACCACGCCACCTCATTCTTCCTTCGCCATTACTACGCAAGCGCTCTCTCTGCGCTCCATCCTGCCCCAACTGTCCAAGTAAGGAACGTGTTGGAAGATGCCGTAAGAGACCTTCAATATACCAACTTCGACCTCCCCCGCGCCTTCTTCCTCGTTGGGTATAGGCTGGGAACAATCTACCTGGGTGAAGCTCAAAAAGCAAAGGCAGACAAAAACAAAGATGCGGACAAAAAGAATGAGGCGGCACAAAAGGCGCTACAGAAGATGGTGGACATTCTGCCCGAGCAACTCAACGAAGACCAAATGAGACTCCCCCTGAGCCTCTTTGCTGCTAGATACCACCTCACTAACAATGATGAAAAGTCCGCCCGAGCTGCGGCTCACAATACCTTGAAAATGGCTGTCGAGCTTCTGTCGGACAATGATGCTAGCAATGACATATTGGCCTACTGGAAAATCCTCTATGCTGTCATTCCGTTCGAGGATAAAAAGAATGTTACGACCGCCCTTGCCATGATGAAACGAGAGAGTGATTTTGAGATGAAGTGCTCCTGCGGTTGTGGTCGTAAATGGGCCACCCCTGGAGACATGTGGTGGTGCAAGGACTGCATCAACGTCGTCTTAAAGGAACCTTGTAAGGAGACAGTCAAGAATCCGGATTTGCCCAACCAGGTTTGTCATGCAAATCACTCCCATTTCTACATTCCACCTTGGGATGAGAAGGTGATGAATGTGCCAAAGGACAAGGTACCCTATAAAGGCGATGCCATTACCATGGAGCAGTGGAGGGACAAACTCATTGACAAGTATCATTTGGGCAAGTCTGGGAAGCTACATGGTCTTCGCCACTGATTTGGGTGAAAATAACGCAATGTGATCAATCTCAGTTCTCATCCCCATAGCCTTTTCAGAATGAAATTCCCAGCTTGTCATGATACGGTGAAAATCATGTAATCATGTAGCTGCTCGATTGGTTCGAGTTCACCTTCTCCCACTTTGTGTATTTACAGTAGTTGCCACAAACTCTACGTCGCACCTGCTTTATTTCCGAGTTGCACCGACGCCAAAATTTGAATGTTGCATACCTGACCCAGCATGACTCTCTATACCTCACCAGCCTTAGAAAACAAAACATCCATTCACTTCCACCACTTCCATCATGAAAAACCGGGCCTACGGGAAGCTCGCCATTGCCACAGCAGCCATTCTCGGAATCATCACACTCGGGGCACTGATATACCTGCTGGTGTGGTACATTCGACGAAGCCTCCGCGTCCGACGGCTTCGCCGTAAGGAGAATCGGAAAAATGACCAATTCGACCAGTCCACAGTGTCCCTAGCCGAAGACACAAGCAGGACGCTAGACGACTTCCTCATGAAGGATATCCAGCCCGAGCGGAATTCAATCATCTTCAGCAGGAGCGGATCTCCACCCATCACCATCGTCATTGACAACGCGGACGAGGCTGCCCGCTGCAAGTCTCCACCTCAGCCTCACCTTATAGAAAATCACGCTGCATATACTCAGAGCTGGACACCGATCTCGCCCCAAGAATCGGATCCTGATGAACCACGGTCAGACCAGACCGAGTGGAGCAGCTCGGGACAGCGTTCTTCAAGCTCGACGCCAAGAGCATCTACCTCCTCGTCCATCGTCCCAACATTGCGATCATCACAAATCTGGACTACGACCTCTGCTACCACGCCGTCGGACCAGACACAGACGAGCAGCTTGGGACAGCGTTCTTCAAGCTCGACGCCAAGAGCATCCATCTCGTCGCCTGTCGTCCCAACATCGGGATCCTCCCAGGCTTGGACTACGACTTCTGCCGGGACTGAGACGGTTTCGCTCCTTAGTCGATCTTCGAACCATTCCCGTCTCCCTCAAAGTCCCACTAGCCCATCTGCCTCACGCGGACCACATATATATACACGTCGGTCGAATGCTTCTGGTACATCGAGTCGGCCATCTAGTACAGGTATTTTACAGTCTGCATCCCGCATGTTCAATGAGGCGGAGGCTTCTCGGATGGCTTACTCGAGTAACATCGGCTCTGTTCGATCAATGAGTCCCACTTCTCCCGTTTCTCCTGTGTTGGTGGACATTTCAGCTGAAAGTGATCCGCCTCAATGGACCTCGGTTCCCCCGACTCCCTTTCCTTTCAGTCAGCTATAACCGTTGATGGCGTACAGTGTGTTGTTAGCTTGGTCTTTCTTTTTTGGAAGTTGGTTTAAAGTCGACGAGGAAAGATTGGGACGGATTCAGGTTCCATCAGTGACTAGGGGACTACCCCCTGTCTTCGCTTCAATGCTCACCGGCAATGTTATTCGAACTTAATGTTCTCAACTGGGATTTCTTGTTTGCTGACACCCCCTTATCCATTATGTATAGTGTCCAGGTCTTTCCAATGCTTATTCTTTTATTCATCGTATTGCTTGGTTACATGTCAATTCTTGGGAAATACCAAGTTAGAACTGCTAACACTGGCAGACTTCCATTCACACTTTCATAAACCAGGTAAATAGTGTCTGCGAAGGTGCATAGCGACCTACAGTCGGATGCCTGACTTCGTGCGGTCGCTGCCTTAAGCCTGATTTATGTCTGATTTTAGACTCGCAGAAGTTAAATACCTGAAGTACTATAATAGGGACCTTAGTGAGCAAAGCACCCTGGAAGTTCCAAGGTCCAGGTCCTGCCTACATACATGTATTTGTAGGTGGATAAATATGGAGATTTGTATACTGGCTTTATTTTAGGGGATTGATCTAGCCGAGGAGGGGTTGAAGTCCTCCTCTTCTTGTATAATACTTACATAGGTATAAGTTGAGTGCGAAGGCAAAGCACTAAGGTGATGAATGCCGGCCGCAGGCATCCAGGACGACTATGGAAGGAGCCATACAAGACCGCTGCCCTGCTTGCTTCCTTCATTTTGTTCCCCATACAACTCTTGCATCCTCGTCTCTAGACTTGAAGTCCGGTTTTTGATGGTATGTTGCTTTCCTGATACAAAGAACGCAGACTGAAGTTATACCCAGATACGAGGTTACAATTTGACGCGTTTACCAAACCACTATGGCCCTTCACCAAGTGAACCCCGCGCACTGCCTCGCAGGCTACATGGTGCCTCGTTTGTATACAGAACTCAGAGTCGGCAGTGGCCGGGTTATCCCCGCAGAGTTCACACCTCCGAGTCCAGATGACACGCCGCAATCGTTGTTCCCACATTGCCCCAAAGTCACAGCAACGGACCGAGTCCATCGCTTTATCCGTCTCAACCCTGACAACCGATCCGTCGAGGACGAATTCCTCATCTACACGGACGGCACGTGTATGAACAACGGCAGGATAAACGCCAGGGCAGGCTGTTCCTTTGTATACAATGAGTCTACAGCTGGGTTTGCACGCTTTCCTCTCGAGTATAAAGGACCCACTGGTCAACAGCACACGCTGACAAGCGACCGCGCACAAATCCGCGCCGTCATTGCCGCTCTGCGGTATAGGGACTGGGCTGCGGACGGCTTCAGTCGTCTGATCATTGCAACGGACTCGGAATACGTGGTCGACGGTATCACAAGAGAGGCGCGTGAATGGATACAGTGGAGTTGGATTACACGCGCCGGGGAACCAATCAGAAACCGGGATCTTTGGGAGTGTCTTCTCGGGGAGGTGGAAATGTGGCAGGAGAGGGGAATGAGCATTCAGTTCTGGCGGATTCCTAGAGAGTTGAACACAAAGGCGGGTCGTCATGCCAAAGAAGCTGCGTTTATGGACAGACATTATGAGTTTACCGATCTCGCTGGTATCAGCAATGTCTCGATCTAGAGGCAGGGCATTCACTCCTGCACTAGAACTCAACACACGCCGAAAGAAAGGAGAAAGCACCGACTGGGCACACGAAAGATGAAGGCTTCGTCCGCATCAGAAAACGCAGATGAGACCGACGGAATCAATCCATGAAACCAAAGTAACCGGTTACTTGGCTGCTGCATCAGTATTTCTTACCCGATTCTTGTGTCAAACAATGAGCAATCAAGCATGTTTAGGACTCTTCAAGTCCGTCAATTTAGCATCCTGTCTGGCGTAGGATAATATGCAAGAAATCCATACAAACCCCATTTCCATCAAGATGAAGCCTTCGAAGGTACGGTTGCCTCTTCACTATACAGCCTTGTTATATCTGTTTGAGTAACTAGTCTACTTGGTGGGTTCTTTGGTAATCTGTTTTAGTAGTCTTATTGGCCATTATTGAAAGGCTGATAATGTCAATTGCATCCAGGATATCTCTACGCTGTATCCGGCTTGTATTCTGTGGACATGTCTCTCACTTGTCTACTTGGTTGGCTGTGTGACATAGCTCATGGAACCGAATATATCCATGGATAATTCAAAGATAGGCGAGATGACAACAAAATCAATGATCGTTATATTTCATTGAACGGTCTCGGAAATACAAAACAAAAAAGAAATACAAAAAGGGAAGTCCCGCCTCCACGCGCCTTGCTATTCCAGTCCTGGAGACGCTTCAGACATAAAACCGACAATTAAAAGCAACACATACAGAAACAAATTTCACGAACATATGTCCGCCATGAGATGTACAGGTAGGAAATGAGAGCTGACACAAAAAGAAAACGTCGAAGTCCTTGAGATCTATCCGGATATAATTATCTTCATCTTCATGCATTCATATCGCGCACACTGCGCAGGCAACGTTCAAGGCGTTTGCCGCGCTCCTTCTCGCGTACAAGGGTATCCTTGACAAACGTTCGGATGGCCTCACGAACCACCCTTTCCCTCCATGAGGTCCAGCCAGCGAGTTCGCCGACCACAACATCCTTGTTCCATGAGACCTCCTTTGCCAGCCGAGTGGACTCGGATTCGCCATCCCGAATCTTTTGTTCGAGGTCACGGACGGCCTTTTGGCGAGACTCTTCAAAGCCTGGCAGGTTTAGATTGAATTTGCGGGGAAGTGATGAGGAGAGGAGCGAGGAGCGAGAGCGAGAGATATGGCGGCTTATTGAAGACAGGGAGGACATGAGGGCAAGTGGACGTGATAAAGAGATGAGGATCGCGGCCGTCGTGTTGTCAATTGAGGAAAGAGCAGCCAAATATTGGAGGAGAGGGGAGGAATCCGACCTAGAGGTCGATAGGTAGGTGGCGTAACGAGCAAAGGCCTCGATGTGTGAGACCGGAAGTGCATTAGTGGGCGCTCGGAGCGTAGAAAGAACAGATGAGCATATCATCACCGCATCAGCGAGATCGGATGTTCCATTCTGTAATGCATACCCTCGACGAATCAGGGACCGTGTGTTGGCATGCACACCACGCACCATGTCCTGGGCGTGGGTGATAAACTGCTCTGTGTCGCGTATGCCCTCCAGTGAGACCGGCTCATATTCGTCCTCGATGGTCTCGGTGAGCACGGCAGCTTTGCTGTACGATCGGTCGGCCACCATCTCAGGCTGAAGTTCTGGAACCAGGAAGAACTCCCACAGCATTTCGTGGGTTGAGAAGGTTGGATGGGCGAGAAGCGTCTTCAGGAACCGGTCCAGTCTTTCCTGGAGATCATGGAGCACGGACCGCGATGGCTTCGAGTGGATCTGGAATGGATTCCGGAAATCTGAGAGAGATGGCATGTAAGATGCTGGATGTTCCACTGCAAGCCATTTAGCCAGATTCTCAAAGTCGGAGAAATTGCGGCGACAAGTCGTAACGGTGTACGTTGTCGATCCGGGCCGCGACGATGCCACAGATTCAGTGGGAGGGAATGGCGCGCCAGATTTGAGAATGAAGCGCACCGTTGCATCCTCGACGAAGTACGACCGCACGACCGTTGTGACACGACCCGAAGGATCTCCACAGGCCGATGGAGGATGGGACAACAAGATCAAATCATCGATGCGATTTCGCACCTCGTCATCCTTAGCCAATTCCACGGCTGTCAAACCACGGGCTTCTTTAACATGAACGTCCACTCTTGGGTCTAAGAAGAGAATGCGAACTTGATCAACTCGCCCGTACTTGCTGGCCATCATTAATGGCGTAAATCTCTTGTCATTAGTCGCATTGGGATCGCAATCGCTGTCCTGCAATATGCGCCGGGTAATCTCAGGATCACCAACAATATGCAGCAGTGTGTTCCCCTTTGTATCGACATGATCATCTAGCTGAAGTGGTTTGTTGTCGCCTTGCGCCCATTGTGCTGCAGTCAAAGCGGCTTGAACCATTGATTTGTATTCTGGATGATCATACGATCGACACAGTGCAAAGAGCGGTGTTTGTCCATGTTTGTCTCGTTGTCGCCATGGGATAATGCTACCAAGTCTCCCTAGCAGCGAGGGTGTGCTGAAGAGATAATGAGCAACAGTGCGACCGTGGACGTCGGATTTGGTCAAGTAGGATGCAACCACACTTGTATCTGTCTTTGCAAATAGGAAGTCCAAGAGGATCTTGACTATTTCAGTGTGTGCGAGCTGCACCGCAGCGTTCAATAGCGTGGTCCCATCGGCGTTGGTGTCTTGGATGATTTCTTCCAAGGGGTAGTATTCTTCTAGGGTCAACAGGTACTTCAAAGCCTCGGGCTGACGGGCCTCCACTGCCATCATCGGTATGGAATGACCAGCAGGGTCTTGGGTTTTTGTCAAGGTCTCAATCGAATTGTCACCTTCAATACCACTCGCCATGGATCCGAGGGTTGCGGTCCTGGAGATGAATGAGACGGCTGATGATTCCGATAGGCTGCGAACGTCCATTGAGACTTTCTTAATTGGACGGTGCGGGTGAGATTCTTGGATAATCGAAAGATCATCCCAAGTTTGGAATGGGAAGACATGGGATAGCGGCGGTGCATCGACAACAGCTTCATCCGGGTACGAGTCGCCGTTCGTATGACTCGTGTAAGAGTGCTGAAGAGAAAGATCATCTGGCTCATTGGCTTCATCTGTCTGGAACAGCACGGACTTTCGCTCCGGTTCCGGTGCAGTCGTGTCGTCTATTGATTCATGATCCTCATTTGGTTCCAGTATGGATTTCATATCCGATATCCTGCCAGCCTTCGTTGCCTGCCACAAACGTCTGTTCCGAACGCTGGCACGCCGTAATCCGGCGGAATCAGTCACCAGATACATCAAAACAGCTTCAAATGTACTTAAGGCATATCCCATCTCGCCATTATCCACGTCGTCGATGTAAATAAAGTGCTGCATGTACAACAATCGGGCTTGGAGATGCCGTATTTGAGAACGAATGACAACAACAAGCAACAACGACACCAAGACATCAGCATTGATAGTGACAGAGGGAGTTCCCTTCTCAGATGCCGAGCCGTCCATTTGATCATAACTACCAGGGAAGGAGATAACCTTCACTGTTTCGAGGAGAGTATTCAGCATATCATGGGGGCATCGAGCGTCATTGATCTTCCGAAATTCTTCCACGGCTCGCCCAAGTCGGCGAATCAGTTCTCGTTTCCCTTCACGTCCACCTTCAACAGAGATTCCGACTTGAGACACATCAATGCTCTCCATCTGGCGAATGCGGGAATCCAGCTCTGTGTCTTCTGGTTGGCGGAATGAACAAAGACGAGGGAAAAGTAGTGGCTCGTGAACTTGTTCGGCGACATACCGTTCTATTAGCCGCTCCACTAGAGGACCAGTGAGGTCAGTAGTCGCACCAAGCAACGATAATTGCTGCTTGTCAACGAGGCGGAAAAGATCAATTGCAGCAGTCACTGCGGTTTCTAAGCTCCGACGCATGAGATCTTCGTCGTCCTCGAAGTATTCCTCGGAGTTGAATGGCAAACGCCCTCTGCTGCGTGACGACCAGCTTCGGATGGAAGAGCTTTCGTCTGTCCAAGACTCGGTGCGGGACAACTTGTGGGCGCGTTCACTGCCAGATGCAGATGGCGATCGTGAAGGAGGAGGTGGCAATGGTTTCCCGAGTTCTTTTCCAAACTCTTTGAACAATCGTTCCAGGCCCGGATGCATCTGTCTGGCAATCATCGGATAGTTGGCTAGCAGCTCCCCAAAAGTCTTGATCTCTTGTTTTGGTGGCGTCCCAATTGAAGCTCCGTTTCCATATTTCTTATCCGGCGTAGTTTGTCCCACAATGCTGATCTCGGTTCCAGGGACTGCGGCTGGTACAATCTTCGCGGGGTCATACGTTCCGATCAACGGGCGAGAGATGTAGTAGATCAGCCATGGGCGCGATTCATTGGACGGGCTGTAATATAGCACGTCGGAAAGTAGTTGGGCTTGTGTGAGTGACTTGAATCCTGATAGAAATTACCGGTGTTAGCTAACATCTTTGGGCGAGCGCATTCACAAGCAAGCGCTCTCACCTTTGTTGCTGTACACTGAGTTGTCCTTGATGATCACCGTCCTCCCATTGAATGTGGTAACCTGCTTTGCTTTCCCTCGATTTTCTCGAACATTATTCTCCTCCTTGGAATTCGTAGAGCCAGTATGGATTGGGATGCGGAGCACATGGCTCCCTAGAAACTCCTCTGACGCGCAAAGATCGGAATACAGCAGGTTGGTCTCCCGGTCGCGTGAACCGATGAGAGACTCTGTCGTTGGAACTAGCAAGACCTGAGGCGCACATGCGACATCAATTAGCCACTCCGGATGATCCGACAATATATTCAGAGCCTCCACCTACATGATTCTCAACCGGTATACACTGGCCTGGGACAGTGCTTCGAAAGAAGGCACGGAGGAAAGGGTTTAGAGGGTGCATCCAAACGGTTTTGGACGGCCCAGTCGAAAGACTCCAGCAATCATCAAGCCGTCCGTTTCAAAGTCCGCAGCAGGGGATATGTGCGC